AAGGGCTATAGATAACCCTATTATATTTATTATCCAACTGTTACTGAGGGGGGGGCAGTACCCAAGTTCTATTAGGGTTATATAGGGGGTATACTAGGGTTCTATTAGGGTTATATAGGGGGTATATTAAGGTTCTATTAGGGTTATATAGGGGGTATATTAGGGCTCTATTAGGGTTATATAGGGGGTATATGAGGGTTCTATTAGGATTATATAGGGGGTATATTAGGGTTCTATAAGGGTTGTATAGGGAGTATATTAGGGTTCTATTAGGGCTATATGAGGGGGGTATATTAGGGTTATGTTGGGGGGTATATTAGGGTTCTATTAGGGTTATAAAGGTTATATAGGGGATATACTAGGGTTTTATTAGGGTGATATAGGGAATATATTAGGGTTCTATTACGCTTATATTAATGTTATACATATAGGGGGGATGGTTTTTGCGAGCCTTTCAGGAGTCTGGTTGGCTAAGGCTTCGTCTGGAGTTCTGTTGGGGTTTGCAAGTTTGGAGCGTAGTGCTTGAACAAAGGCTTCCCCCGAACCCTGAACCCTAAACAGGCACTAAGCCCCTAAGCCCTAAACCCTCTACAGGCTCTAAACCCCACACCCAAAACCCTAAGGCTCTGAAGGAAACCATTGAGAGGGGAACTTCAGGGGTGCAATTTTTGGGGCAGCTGGAGGACCGCCAACCTGTGGCTCCGAAAACTCACCCTGAAGGCTCTACCCGCCCTGTTGAGGGCTGAGGGTTTTAGGGCTTAGGGTTTTGGGTTGAAGGGTTTAGGGTTTTAGGGTCTAGTGTTTTAGGGCTTAGGGTTTTGGGTTGAAGGGTTTTTTGGTTTAGGGTTTTAGGGTTTAGGGTTTTAGGGTTTAGGGCTTTAGGGTTTAGGGTTGAGGGGCTTAGTGTTTACGGGATTACGGGTTTAGGCCTATCCCGAAGCCCTCGAAACTCCCCTAAATAACGCGGAACACAGAATAGTTCCACTTCAAAAGAGCTGTAATCTTGAATGTGCCGTTGTTGGGGCCCCACGCTGGTTTGCCAGTATCTACCCTTATTACACTTAAGCTACATATATCCTTGAACACCCCGATACATGATGGCTGTAGCGGCTTTCTTAGGAGTTCATGTTCTACCTGTAACCCCAATTACCCACAGTTTTATGGGTCATACCTACTAACTAAAGGATAATTACTATTAAGTTGCAGGTAATTGGGGTTACAGGTAGTACCTAAACCCCGAACCCTAAACTCAGGATCCGGGTGTCTGGGTATGTTGCGGTGCACCCCGCAACTTCGTCCGCTGATTCCTGGAATCTCATTTCGGCAGCTTCGGCTTCCTCAGCGCGGTTTAGGGTTTAGGGTCCAAAGCTGTAGGAATTAAGTCCTAATTCCTTGGTTGGCTTTTTGGAGCCTTTTGGAAACTATGAATATATAGGGTCCTTATGACGCCAGCAAGGGGAAACAATAAGTATCCCAAAGGCCAACGCAGTTTTCAAAAATCTTTTTTCGAATTGAAGATTTACCCACTCAGAGTACTATGTTCTAGACGCTTTGGTTAAAGGGCCCGCTTGCAGGTTTAGGGTTTCGTAAGCCGTAAACCGCAAAAGGTTCGTTCCTAGGCGTTCTCTGTTGCCTTCATGGCGATACTGATTATGGTCTTCCTAGCCAAGTTCGAAACAAATAGACGACGTGCCCGTCAAGCAACTGTCTGCGGCAGTATCCTTTGAAGGACTCAAAAATCTGAGTTCTGAGACGTTCCGGTGAAACTTTGCATAACATCTGTGCAAACCCAACAGCCCACAGGGGTTCCCATGCGGCCCATGACCAATCCCAAAATATCTGTTATGGCCACTGTATTGCTGTCGTCTGCACCTCAGTCATTGCTGAACAACTCTTTCAACAGCTAATATATAATGGGACCCGATGAGAAATATGTAGCTATAGGTTTCGTATATCCAAATATGCCCCAATAATGCGCCAGGCACAAATAAGACAC